AAAATTTAATTATTTCCACTTTCTTGCATTTCACTCCCTCCTCTAGTGGCTCTGGGGATAGAACCCAGGGCCTTGCACATGCTCAGTAAGTGCTCTACCATTAGCTACACCTCCATCCCAGCTTCCTGTATGTCTAACTTTGAAATGTCAAATGTTTTACACATAGGCATGTTTATTCAATTATAGTATTTATATTAGAAACAAGGGCATAAAGCACTCAGTAAAGAAACTCAGTAAAGTGATAATAACTGCTCTGTCTAAAAATTTGTTGTCATAATCAAGCCTGAGATTATTAAAACTAGGTTGAATTACATTTGCAATTAATTACAAATATTTTATATTTTCTAATTAATTATACTATATAAGTGTCAAATGTTTTACATTTTATAAAGCATTCAAATTGAAAATATTTGGGGAATTTGTCATTTCCGTTGAAAGCTGAGCACAGTGAATTACAACTTGTAATCACAACACTCAGGAGGCTGGGGCAGGAGTATCATCACAAATTTGGGACCAGCTTGGGCTACACAGTATAGTAAGACCCCACTTCAAAAAAACAAAAGTAAAACCAAAACAATGAAAAACTATGCTGTGACAAAAATATTTAGATAGTTTGGCTAAAGAACCATTTACTATTTAATTTTTCAAAGGTATGAGTTAGAAAAGTTATAGTTAATATAAAATGTTCTTTATTCAATGAGATGGTTGAGAGTGATTGACAGTTTGACAGAGTCTAGAATCACTTCGGAGGCAAGCCTCCAGGCACCCTGTGAGGGAGTATCTAAGCAAGGTTAGACTTTGGTGTATCTGTGAGGAATTATCTTGATTAGTTAATTGAACAGGGAAGACACTCTAAACACAGCACTGTTTCCTGGGCTGGGATCCCGAATTACACAAAAAGGAGGAAGCAAGCTGCACACCATGGTTTATTGCTCTCTGCTTCCTGACTGGGTGTGACCAGCTGCCTCAAGCTCCTGATGCTGTAATGATGGTACCCTCGAACTGTGAGCCAACACAAATTGCTTCTTCCTTAATTTGCTTTTGTCAGATTATTTCACAGCAACAGGGAAAGTACCAAAGGCAGTCAAACAGCCCGACCACATAACTGCACAGTGTTTTCACCTACAGCAAGTGTAAGAGATTTGCCTAATTAGATCCAGTTGAAGTATCAATGGAAACACAGGAAATGGCACGATGTTTAAATAAACAAAATGACCATTGCAAGAGAAAACAGTGAATCTTCCTATACCCCACCCTGTTTTGTTGTTTCGGTTATTTGGGGTGGGAAGCAGCTGTGGTTAGAAGATAATAAATAAACATTCATAGATTTAAAATACCTTATATTACAGTATATCATTATACTTGCTGTATTTCATTATTAGTTGTTGTTACTCCCACTGCCTAATTTATAAATTGGACTTTATGATAGGTATGTAAAAACATAGCTGTCAGGAGAAAACACCCTCATAGGTGAGCAATAATACTACTTAAATATTGTTGGGTTGAGATAGTAACATTAAGGATATATTTAAATATTCAGGATCACTTCATGAATCCCTCAATATTTATCAAGAAAGTCTAAAACATTTTAAAAATCACATGTGTGTATCTATAGTCTCAAAGCCTAGATGCCCATGTTGATGAAGTCCAATGTTAGCTTTTAAAATGTTAGTAGCATTAAAAGTTCTGCAGTGGGGAGTGGGAGAGCTGGCCCAATGGGTAAAAGTACGAGCAGCAGAAGCCTGGTTTGGATTCCCAGAGCCTGTGTGGTGACACTAGGCTGGACACTGGTGGACCTTCCTGAAGCTCATAGGCCAAACGTCCTGGCTTACACAGTGGTTAAGAGACCCTGCCTCAAGCAATATGGAAAGGTAAGGACTGACACTTTCAGTCAGACAATCTATTTTTAATTACATTTTGTATGTACCCCATGTTCAGCTCTGAATAGTTTGCCCTAACCACTGTTTGGTTAAGCCAAAAACCAATAAAGGATTCAGTTTTAGGAGCATAATCCTGAGTTTTCAATATATGAAATGATGACTGTTAGCAAATATACTCACACCTTTGTTCAGAGGTTCAAAATATCCCTTGCTTTCTTTTCTTTCTCTTTCTTTTTTGCACATGTTCTCACTGTGTAGCTCTGCTGGTAGGGAACTCTCTATGTAGACCAGGCTGACCTCAAACCTGGAGATCTGCCTGCCTCTGCTTCCGAAATGCTGAGGTTAAAGACGTGCAAACTCATGCCTGGCTACAGTTTTCTATCCTTCAGCAAACATAGGCTGAATCTTGGGCTAGGTTATAAAATATACATGAAACCCAATGCATAGCACCAGTCAAATTCCATGCTTTGGAAACCAAAGGCAAAGAACAAAGCAAGGGTTGCCCTCTGTACCAATGATCAGCTCTAGATAAAATGGCTGCCCCTCACCATGACATCCTTTTAATCCCCCTTTCTGTGTCCCACTAGGCCTGAACGAAGTATGCTCTTTTCTTTACCTCCCATACCTTTACGGTATTGAGTTTTTAACTACATAGAGCCAACTCAATCCTGACTGCCCCAAGAACTGATTTTTGCATTAGTATTGGCCTTTTCTCTCCAATACTCCCACCCACACCTATCTTTCATCAAAGCAGTTAGTATCTGTGGAAAGCTATAGGCAGTGATCCAATTGAATGAATAAATAACTGTACCTACAACTCATCCTGTTGTCTGTATTACCCAAAAAGGGACAGAAAGTACCAACTTGATTACTCTGTGTCTTGTGACCAAAGCTCATGGTGTTTTCACCAGTGGAGTCTTAACATCAACCAAGAGCAACACAATAACCTGTATTGTTTCAGGATCCTTACAGTATCTCTGATAAACATCTAGAGGGGGGTTACCCCATACCTAGCACTGGGTGTTTTATTTAGCAACCTATGGCTTTTGAAATGAGAATAATCCACTTTGAAGGGTAGTGTTGTCTTTCTCTTAACCCCACCCTCTATTGTATCCTCCCATCCCTCTCCCCACTTAAACCTCCTCCCCATTATCTCCCTTTTTATCCTTCATACCTTTGTTCTACTATTCCCCTCCTTAAGATCTATTTTCCCCCATCCCCATCAATGAACCACTTCCAGATTCCTAGATTACACATGCAATCCAAATTAAACACATACATATAAAGATTCAACAATAAAAATCCACATGTGATGTTTGTCTTTCTGGGTCAGTATTAACCAGGAAGCTTCTTGTATGCATAGCAGCTAGTTTTCGTAGTACTGGAAGATGCTATGCAGACTGCCGAGAGGGAAGAGAGTTATCATAAGTTTTACCCAGCTGTGAACACTATGAACTGCAATAATGACCCACATGACAAGATATATCCATGGCTGCAAAAGTGGCACAGATGTTACAGAGGTAACCAATTGCTTTCTTTATTAAATTTAAAGCTGTCTTAGTAGGACAAATTTGGTCAAGAACCCATGGTTGGGGAGTTCATAGGCCCCACACTTAAATCTACTACTGTTATTTTGATAAATGGGCACAGTATTAATCAGCCCCCTAAATTCATATTTCTCCATCAACATATTAGTGAAACTCTTAGACCTTATCAGAGAAGTTTCTTTGTGTGTTGGATGGTGGCTAACACAGAAACTCATAACTGATTAAACTGGAGTCAATAAGTTACTGAATATAGAGAATGAGTGACTGAGAAGCGCTCAGCAACAAATGGAATATCTATGTCACAACTTTCTCCATGACTCAGGACGAACTGTAAGAGCCATAGATTAGGGAAATCTGAAGCAAAATAGAATCTTCTGGGAATGACAGAACTATGGCACTCATGAACTCTCACTATTAACTGGAGAGCTATGGACAGTTAGTTGGCTTCTGGAGGAGGGATTCATGGTTTTCATTAAAGGTGTGAGACGTTTGGCAGGTGGGTCATGCAGCAATGGATGGTTCCACATCCACAACTACTATGGATAGTACAAATGAGAGTCAATGGGTTATTGAATAAAACAGTAACAACAAAGAAGACAAGAAGCTGGGAACTAGAGGGATGGGAGTGGATCTCAGGATTTAAGGAGGAGTTTGGGATGGCTATGATCAAAATATATTGCATGAAATCCTCAAATAAACAAAATATATTTAGATGATAGCAAGTATCACAAATACTTAAAAACAGGTTTTACGATTCTCACAACTTAGCTAGGCAGGAGGCAGAGGCAGGTAGATCTCTGTGAGTTTGAAGTTAGCCATGGCTATACAGAGAAACCTTGTCTGGAAAAAAAAAAAAAAAAGAAAGACAAAAACAGGAACAATGGGGGAATAGCGGGGAGAGAGCAACAGCTGGCTGGGTGCTAGGCTATTTAATGTTGGGAGCTGCTTTAAATAATTTGAGGGAACAAATTTGCATTCTTATTTACACTTGGCTCAGGATTAATTTGGAATTTGTTGTATTTTCGGCAATACACACCTACTTCAGAGTTACAAGGGAAATCTCTTTTGCTATGAAAACTTGATGGCAGATGGTTCACCGCAGATGATCTATGCAATGCTGATGGCTGCCTTTTTGCTCTCATAGTCAAATGCACTGCAATTATTTTCTAACTAATTTCATGTTTCATTAGAAATCTAGTCTCTAAGCTCTTGGTTGCTTGATGATAGAGCAGCATACATAATAAAATTCTGAAACAAAAAAACTATATAGATACATAGTTTTAAGATTGTTTAAAAGCAGAAGGAGATACTAGCACAGTCTAGAGTAACACATGATTTTAGTCTCAGTTACAGTTAAAAAAAAATGTTTCACTTCATCATGCTTGGGGGCCCTGACTTAACAAGAATTTCCAGTATCTCACATGAGTAGTAACAAAAACACCACAGGGTGACTTCTAGACACTAAGAAGTTGTTTTAAAGCATCGTTCCTTTATATCTAAAACATTAAAAGCAATGAAAAGACAGATTTCAGCTGGTGAATTTTAAGACACAAAATGTTAGAACAGTCATTACCTGCAAGGGACCCACCAAGGGCCTGTTTTTAGGTACTGTAAATGCTCTGAGAACATTGTCTTCATCTTCTAATACCGGTGTCATTAAAACAGAGCTTGTAAGAATATTCTAAAGGGAAAGGAATCATTTGAAATTTAAATGAGGTGAGATAACACAAGAGCGAACATAAGCCTAACTCTAGAGAGTAGATTACTAAGAGATGATATGCATTAGCATGAATAAAGACAATTGTCTGCCAGAAATTCTTTCCTCTTTGAGCTAAAAGGAGCCAACTCTATACTGGCTTCTCATCCATTGTTGCAAACAAATACCACACCAAACCAATAAAAATGCCGTAGGGTCCCACCTAATTCTAGGCATGTGGCATGTACACAAAATCTATCTACTAAATGATTTATTAATCCATGCTTCTAAAAATAAGAGATGTACTAATGAGAACCCTTTGTTATATATTGGCACAGAAGTATTTGAGAGCTACAAGTCAACAGCACTACAGTACAATAGTGCAAGTGTGGCATTTACAAACATACTTTCAAAGTTCTAATGCAGCACCCCCAAGTTAAGTTTATAATATTGATCAATTAAATCACTAAGTTACCTAGCAGTGCAGTTGGTATAATGAAGGGGATGCTATTAACATTATTTTGAGGATTATAAGAATTAATTCATCTAAAGCCCTTGAATTTGTACTCACCAGTTAGTAAACACTGAGTAAAATATTAACAGTTTTCATTGGCTCTGGTTATCCATAAGATGTAGGAGATGCTATCCACAGATTAACTGTTCAAATGTGATAATAACCAGGGCAAGGTGACAGAACTTCACCGACCAAAACACTCAGACAGAAAAGTACTGTTCACACAGCATTTACACACCATGTAAGATAGGAGTTCATCCAAAAGCGATTTAAAGTACATAGGAGGATTACATGGGTTATATGCAAATACTGTGCCATTTTAACTAAAGAATGTGAGCATCTGGTCTGAGGCCATTCTCCTGTGGCTATGGAAGGATCCTCAAGGTAGGGTTGGAAAAGCAAAGTATTTGCTACACACCATGACTAGATACCTCATGGAACCACACAACAGATTGCTTAACTAGGAAGAAATGCAACATTGAGAAGACAAAGCAAATGCAAAAGAGTCATGTGGGTGTGAATATTTAGAAACCGGGTGACACTAAAGAGTGAGTGCTGAAGGCACTGTGGTCCTATGTGCCACACACCGCAGTTCCTGGGATACAGACAGGGTCACAAAAGAGTCCATGGGCAGCCTGATACTTACTGGGGCATCTGCCACGGGGGATGCCTGAGAGAACAGCTGGGTGCTCAGGTTGGTCCCTTCCCAGTGGTTTGAGCAGAAGAAGTTTCCTGCTTTATCAGTTGGTGACTCCACCTAAAAGCAAGCAGGAAGTTCTTTGTTATGGAAGAGACTTCCGGAAACATTTACTCTCAGATATAAATTTCTACCCAGTCTTCCGAACACAAAGCCTTGCATGATAGGAAAGGGGGTTGAGTCCGTTGGAAATGGCTCTTCCCAACAAGCTAACGCTTTTGATTTTTGATAGTTAAAATTTCATTCTGTTGTGCCTGTAAACTTCTATTCTCTAAGGGGACACACCATTCAGGGCAACTTCAATCTATGTTCTCTGGCTATGGTCATTCCACCTTAGAATAAACTATGTCTTGGTCATTTAAAAAGACAACAGGAACGAATCTGTCATCTATCTATCTCCTGTCTGTCTGTCTGTCTGCTGTCTGTCTGTCTGTCTGATTGTCTGTCCATCTATCCATCCATACCCCTCTATTGATAAACCAGCCTGCCTCCAGCTAAGGCTTGAAAGGTATCTCACAGTAAAGACAAACTAGGTTCATTCCAGTTATGATTAAATCTCTGTTTCTCAAAGATTGTGCTATATCCCTCCTTCTCTTTACCCTCTCTAGTATCTTTTCTGTCTAAAGGAATCAACAGAAGTGAATTCTAAATGGAACATTGGAATTCACAATTCGGCAGTGCCTTTCAACTTAAGTCTTGTGTGAAAAGTGTCACTGTCACTTAGCACTGATGTCAGGCAATTCAAGGTGTAAAAGAACTAGGATGACTCACCTCCTGTTTGATTTTCTTCAGTAGTGGGGGTCCACTCTCTTGAAACTCAGCAACGATTCCAGATTCATCAGCTTCCTGCTTGATCACATCCTGGAGGTCTTCCACTAAGTGAGAGGGTGTCTGAGGCTAAGGGAAGAGTGAGTATTTCTGGATCAGAGGAAACTTAATGTCTATATCCATCAGCCCACTAAATCTAAGGACTTTCTGGAACTTACTAGCATCTTCAGGGGACCATATTTAATTTCTTGAGTGGCAAGCGCATGTTTGAATGGTGTGGGTGTTCTTGGAGAGCTGTCAAGGATTGACCTTTTGATAGCTGGAGTTCTAAAGCTAAAGAAGAAATCAATCAAAGGTTCAATAAAAAAGTCACGCACTGCTTACATTGCTCTCAGTACAGAACCAACAGCTGTTTGTGACATTCATTATGGGATAGTGGATCTGTAGTAAGTTATATAGAAGATCTACAAATATTTCAAAATACCATCCCATAATGTAAGACCAAGAGCAGTAAAATAGTTTCCATCTTTTGAGAATGGTCCTGAAGACACAGGTAATGGCCCTGGATCTGTATAATGACCTAAAGTACTCAGAATATCTTGGAATATCTGGTATCAGTTATAAATCAGTCTTATCTACTCTCTTAAATGAGGCCAAAACTAGAAAACATGTTAATGTCTAAAACTTTGTGTCTACTTGAAAGTAATAAGAATGCATTTCTTTCAAAGAATGTATTTGTTTTCAATTACTTAATCATCCTGGGCTTTGAAATACACACACACACACACACACACACACACACACACACACACACACACCATACATACTTTTATTCATTCCTGTGAGTAAAGAAATTCTAATATATATGTTATAAAAAGAAAACAATAAGATTAAAAAATATAAACTATGAAGCATTCTCAATTGTGTTCTGAATACTTTAATCTCTTTTTAAAGGACAGTGAAAATAGTGGGAAGGAAAAAAACTGGGTGAGAGTATTATGTGAAAACTACTGCTTCCTGCATTTAGAGTGTACTAGAAAATATAATTTAGCCCATTTTCTTCTTTCTACCCTGGTTAGTCGTAACATGCTCAGGATACATTCACTGTGGGAATGTACAGGGTATATACAGTGAATGAATTGCAAATATACAAGGGAGTCAGACTTCTGGAACTGTATTATCATTAATATAAATAAATAATGAAGAACATTTTTCTTATTGAGCTAAGGACTTACATGGAATTTTCCTTCTGGGTTTTCACAGTCTGGTCTCTATGACATGGTGTTGTCAGTTTGTGGCCACTGAGAGGAGTAGAGGTTAAAGAAGGCACATCTAAGCCTGGGTTTTCGTGGTTGCTAGAAGTGTTCAAGAACTAGATATGGAATGAAGAAAAAAAATAACTTGGATTAAATAATGAGTCTGTGCCCATTCCAATTTGAATCCAAACCAAGAGAGCAAGTAATGATACTCTAGTGACTCACAACCCCAAATAATGACAATGCTAACACTAGTGCAGTGTTGATGAGGGTATTGATTTCCTTCAACAGAGTAGCTAAAATTTGGAGTGTTCTTTATAAGAAACAAAATCTAGGGTCAAAGCTAAAACCTTGCAAAATCAAAGAAAAATCCCTATAAATCACACTTGCCATTAAAGAGAATGGGCTGTGCTCTTGATAACATTAAAAAGATTATTATCTCACTTCTAATGACCTAGCAATCCAGAGTATTAGTACCTAAGGTTTGCATTATGTGGAAAATCACTAGGAAGTTATATCCCTCAGAATCCTGAGGGTCTCAAGGCAAAATAGATTTGGCAAACAATGGACCTCAGCTCCTGGGAGGACCCAGTACACATCAGCTCCCTTAAATCTCTCAGGGAATCCAAGCACAGTGGCCGCTCCCTGCAGTAAGTTAGTTACTCAGAGGCAAGAAGGTTTCTTGAGCACAGGAGTGTAAGGCAAGTGGGGCAGCATAAAGACTCTGGCTGCAATTTGAAAAATTAAAAAAATAAGAAATACAAACAAAAACAAAGTCTGAGGGGTACTCTAGTAAAGACACCCTTTAAAAACTTGAGCTAGGGTTCCAAACTTTTATATCTATCTAGATTTTTTTTTTCCCCTGAGAGATCTATTAGGTCTTGCAGAACTAATTTCACAGAACATAGTTTAGGAAAATTTGGGAGAAAAACAAAAACCCACTTAAATCTATATCTTGGGGAATGGGAAGATCATTTGTCTATACTTAAAGTTCTTTTTAAAACATGTTCAGGAGTATGTATAGCTCAGTGGTAGAACACTTCCCTAGCATGCACGAGGCCCTGGGTTCAAGTCCCAGAACCGCAAGAAAATAAAATGAAGTAATGTAAAATGCAAAACCCTCAACAGATATAACTGGGAAAAAAATGTTTTAAGGAGCCAAATTATCTCTTCATTATAATTTTAATTTGGGAACACATGACTCTGCTAAGGAAATATTCTAATGTTCATGCCTATATGAAAATAAGAATATTCTTTGGCAAAAGTACCCTAGTAAAATGCCCTGGCAAAATTTAAAAGAACCAATGCTGAAAATGTGAAATTATTTTGCATAAGCATCTGTTTTTCATTGTTTCCCTAAACATTTCCACCTACAGATAGGCTATAATGGTTTCTTTTTCTAGTTGTAATCCAAATGTTATGTAACCATAATTTGGTTCCCTCTTCCCGGGGTCAGCAAATCACTCAGTAATAAATGAACAAGAGGCAGAATACATGGTAAAATTTGAAGAGGGAAGGATGACATGGGAGAAGAGGAGGGGACAGAAAATGTTCAGTGCTAGAGCAGAAGGAAATGAAAGCCTGTCTCATGCAACTATCTTTCTTCCAAACCATCAAGGGTAAGAGAGACGTGACAAAACCATCAGTTGCCTGCAGCCAGCCCCAAACTCAGGGAGGCCATCTGCAATCACCCCAGCTAGATTGGAAGTAGTATTAAATAGGCCAGGACAGCAGTCGTTAGTCATTTGTTCAGGAGATTAGTCTCTAATTATTAAGGCTCAGGTGTCTGCTGAAAATTAGTAACAGCTGTGCAGAAATTGTGGTCTACCTGCGAGGGAGAGAAGGGTAAGCCTTTGACAGGGGAACGCTTGGGAGTTGAGCTGTTGATGTCAGCAAAGAGGAAGGAGCTAGTGTCTCTCGTGGATAAGGGGCTGGCTTGGCCCCGCCTTTTTCGAAGGATGACCAGAGGAACCATGCTGTGCCTTGAAGGAGAGAAGGCTTTGGCTGGGCCAGGGGAAGTGTCCTGGTTCAGCCCTGGGCTGTTCACCCTCAGGCTAGGCTCTCCTGCAGGTATAGTCCCATGGCCCTCTCTCTGCTGAAGCTGGAAGGCTTTGCCTGTGTGCTGTTGACTACGTGAAAAAGCTGCTTCTTCTTCAGAGAGGACAAAACTGCTGAGATCACACCATGAAGGATCCTGAAACAATGTGGGAGGCACAGAGCTTGGTGAATGCCACCAGCAGGGAGTGAGGAGTGTCAGTATGCTTAGCTCAGGGGTCCATGGGTGGCCTTGCAGGGGGCCTTGAGCATCTACCGTGGGGAGCTCAGGCACTCTCTTTTGTATGCAATTTAAAGCAAGCAGAAAACCTTTCTAGATACATTATGGTAATAGCTAGCCCTGTCCCGTATGTAGGCAATAAATGCTTTTTTAACCAATTAGGAGACCAAGGAAAGGAACTGAGTGTTTGCTGAACTTAAATTTGTTTCACTGAAGATGGTTTATTTGGGTGAACCAATGAAATTGTCTTAAGCTCCAAGGAAACATAAATCCAAATGTGCTGTCCAAAAATAAAGAAAGAAAGAAAACAACAAAACCAAAACAGCAAAGAAAAAATTCCCAGGGACTCAAAGAAGTAAGCAAAACACAAGAAATTCTGTTAAAAATAGTTCAGACACAGTTCTTATCCAGAGCCCTTCTTGGTAAGTCAGAAATTCATTATTTTTCAAAGAAATTCCCATTTGGAAGGCAAAATATGGAAAGCTGCCTTTTGTGTGGGTAGCATAGGAAATCAGACTGCCGAGAGAGGTGGAATGGCCAAAACTAAAGTCCGTTCACTTTACATGAATGTAGGCCAAAACCACATTTGCTATAGAAAATGGCAATGATTTATGGTATCCGTTCTCAATTCCTCTTCCAGAAACATTAACGTGTCTTAGCAATTCTACTTACAGAATCTATAAACTGGAGTGTTTCTGCAAATTCTAAGAGGTTCTTAACATTATCCAGAATGGTGCCCTGGTGGACGATCATGCACCTGGCTGGCGAGGCGCTTTCTTCAGGTAGAGAGCCAGGATCTGCAGGCAGAGAAGGAGTGGAGCGGTGTTCTCCCAAACAGGAAACAGGTGCACTGTCTCCATGAGGTCTGGTCTGGTCCACAATGGAGGTGCTGTGCCACCCAGGGTAGCTGCAAGTGTGGTTCTGTGTCTGGGAAGGGGGTGTGTAGAAATGAGGATGGGAGAAGAAAGGAAGAAGAAACTTAGCAATGATGTTGCACAAGGTATCAGACAGATGCTGTTGGAGGAAGATAAAAAGTAGTTGCTACATCCAAACTCGGGTCGCCAGGCAGTTGTCAAGATGTTTCCTTTTTGACAGCTTTGCAATAACTCTCTAATTTATACCTACAGGATTGCTTCAGTTGCTAGGATTTTAGTCAAATGCAAAACCTTGGGACTGCTAGAAAATACAAAAGTCTTAGAGTGTTTTAGAAATCCATTTGAGTTTAATTTGCAAACTGCCTGTGTTTGCTCTGACTTGCCAATGATCCTATTTGCATTCTAAGCCATTGAAAGGATTCGCTGGTTAGAGCTGCTGCTTTTATCTGCACATATCCTGTTGCTTCTATTCTTTTTTAAGGCTACAGGTTGCACTGATGCAAGGTAGGGCTGCAGAGTGTATGTGGTTAGGAAAGTAGATCAAGTTAACAGAAGTCCCCTTATGACCACGCAAGAGGAGAAATTGCAAAACATTAACTAAAGTTCAAAAGTGGTTCAACCACCACATGCATGTTATTTTATTATTTAACAACAAAAAAGAAATTTCACCTGAAAAATCCCTACCAGGTATCACTTCTCTCATACTCACTTTTGGGGCAAACTACATATGTTCCAAAGTGCACGATGCCTTTCCAGTTTGCTGCCCAATCAAGGATTCAGAAATGGCCCACATGAGGGCTAGAGCTAGAGGACTCAGGGGAAGAGTGCTATCTAATACTCTAGCCCTAGGTTCAATCATCAGAACAAAAAAAAGGGAGGGGCGAAGGTATTGGGGAGATGTCTCAGTCTGAAATATGACTGCCATGCAAGCATGAAAATCTGAATTTGATCCCCAAGCATCCACAGCAGTTTGACTCTATAACCCCAGTGCTGGAGGGGGTAAGGACAAGTAGAACCTTGAGCTCATTGGCCGGTAAGCTTAGCCAAATGGGCAAACTCCAGGTTTCATGGGACCCTGTCTCAAAATATAAGGTGGATGGATGGTCAGCAAGATGGATAGGCAATTAAAAAAGTTTGATTGCCCAAAGCCCATGGTAGAAGAAAGAATCCATTCTGGAAAGTTGTCCTCTTACCTCTGAAAAAGCATGGTAGCATGTGTGCACACACAGACACAATTAAATTAAAAAATTTAATCTAGAGATCTATTAAGGAAGACACTTGATGTCAATTTCTGGCCTGGACACATGCACACACACCTATGGGACATGTATGTGTATACAGAAACACACTATCACTACTATTAGGAATGAGCTTCACAGCTTTCATACATGCAAACAAAAGATAGCCGCAAATATTTAAAGTGGCTTATGTATATATCTCCTTTTAAACATGTATATACTAAGTATGCATCAAATTGAATTTGAGATTATAAAATACGTAAATACAGGCCAGGAAAATAACAGTAAAAGAAAAACTCACACAAATGGGCACTACATGTGTATAAAGCTTTGCTGAAACGCAGATTTTTCAATCATTTTATCGGTCCTAGTCTTTCAATTGATGAAAGTTCTCTTGAAGGAAACAGAGGATGCTGATGGTCACAAGTGGACACTGTGGTCCTATTGCAAGACAAACAGCTAGACTACTTCTGACTCAGCTAATGCACATTCTGAGACCAATACTTTTATTAACAGCAATTTCTGGTGTTTGAGCACAGGTCAGGGATACACAGAACTTGGCTGATACAATCTTTAGAAGAGGAGAAACAGGCCAGAGAAGAGTGTGGAGACAAAGTTGCCCATCACATGGTAACACTTACTGGTAATGGTTGCTGTCCTTTCAGCTCATTCTCAGTTGACATCAGGAGCAACTCTAATTCCTTTATTCGCTTTTCTTTCTCAGGGTCTTCATCATTATAGTGTCTCTAGAGTTATAAGTGAATCAGGGAAAGGATGAGGTCTGAGTGAGGTACCTTACACAGCTTAGAGAGGCTCTGTGGGGAACCACCCCCACAAAATTCACCACGACTTGCACAAAGTACTATGAGACTTAAGGCAACAAGGAGAAAGCAGAGGCCATCCTGCTCACAGATGTATTAGGAAATTCCAGAAGCTATCAGTGGTAAATGGCTGGCCCAAAGTAGGTCCTCAATGGTAGCTGTTAGCTTTTCATTCTATTATAGATTGTAAAATATGTGTTCATGTGGAAGAAATAAAGAAATAAAGTATTCTTTAAAAGTGGTGGGTTTACCCATCAGACAATCTCACCTGTATGGCTGCAGCAGCAGGCTGAGGGACATTGACTATATTTACATGCAATGCTACAGGATATGGAACGTGACTGGAGACCTAGACCAAAAAAGCAAAACAAAGGGACTCATTTGTTATGGCACTGAGGGGAAAAAGTACTTTGGTGATAAAATTCACTGAATGATTAAAAAACTAAAACAAAACTTTTAACTTGAAATTTAGCCAGGTATTTAAAAATGGCTAAATAGTTCAAGAAATGCAGGGAAAGAGGCCCAAAGGGTCTTTCTATCCCAACAGAAAGCATTCCTCAATCAGAGAAAGGAACAATGGAAAAAAAGTATTCATGGATGTGTGAAAGAAGTTTTGGGAGACATGGATACCACTAGCTGTTTGTCACTGGGGATATCTGTCTTAGAATAATGTTTAGTTTTAATAAAAAGCACAGAAGCTTTTATGATAATTCATTCACCGGAGACCTTTCTGGAAATTCTGTAGTCAAATTGAAGAAACCAATAGAGCCAAGTAAAAGCTATTCATGAATATGTTTTACATAGCATTTGCATATGATCTTTGTAATTCGTGGGTAAGTCTTTTTTTTTTTTCTTTGAGACAGGTTTTATCTGTTCTGTGTAGGCCTGGCTGTCCTAGAAACTCACTCAAGAGACCAGAATGGCCTCAAACTCACAGACATCCACCTTCTGGGATTAAATGTGTGTGCTACCACCACTAAGTTTTGTCATTTTTATCATCAGTTCTATGATAAGCATTTCTGATATTCTCCTCTTTAGCCTTCTCTCCTACATATTATAAAGGATTTCCTTCCCTAGATATGTCTAGAAATGAGGAAGGAATGATACCAGTTCAAATGAGGAGAAAGGAAGATGACACAGAATCAATGTCACAATGCCCTTGACTCAGAGTCAGAAAGTAAACATTTACTGAATGTGTAAATGAACATTTTTCTCTTAGATCATTGCCAGAATTAGATTTATAATCTCCCATTGTATTTCAGACTTTAGCTATCACCTCTTTGCTGTTTAAATGTAATATTACATCCATTTTTTTATTTCAGAAAAGAAAAATACTGGATTATAAACCTATCTGCACTCACCCATTATATTTAAGGATTTAAACACTCAAAAACTAACTTTAAATCAGATTTGGAAGGGCATGTTAGAATCAAATCATTACTTCTATTCATGATGAACTACTTCCCATTCTTGTTTCCAGAAACTTAAGTCAGACTCAAGTGCATCCTCCCCTACCTCCCTCAGAGGGTCTAGCTGAGGACCATCTGTGACCACGCTCATGCCATTTCTAGGAAAGCACACAACTGTCAAGTCTTCCTAAGACCTGGACCTGACATAATTATCTTTCTGCTCCAACTAAGTTCTCCTCAGTGATGGCTTACATTTTGTGCTTCGGAAATGTGGTAGTAGGGATAGTCACTGTTAACCGATGGCTGGCCGGTTGGAGAGAGCTGAGCTGAAGGTGGAGCATGAGCAAAGCCCATCAAATGATTGCTCTTCTGGAAGCCAGTAGCCACTGGTGGCTGGCTGGCTTTTGAAGGCTCCTGCAGGTAGCCTTCCTGTTCCACCTTGCGACGCATGGTGGAATTCCAGTGGTTCTTGATAGCATTATCAGTCCTGTGTGGAAATACACCACATACAAACTTTACCACAGTTTTAATTCAGAGTACACTTAATTGGCAGAAAACTTTCTAAAAGAAATCTTCTCTGTGGGTCCACTAACTGCTGTTTTCTCTTTTGAATTGTCTTGGTCTTTTCTACCCTGCCGTCTAATTGAAAACATGGAGATTTCTCTTACTACTGCAATCTGGGATGTTTTGAGTGTTATGCAAATTTTGTTTTCTTTTTAGCATTTTGACTCCTTGATAAGGGTGGATGCTCAAAAGAATAACCCTTCTCTAGGGTCTGACCATTCATGTGCTACTGGACTTTACTACAACTTAAAGTCCCAGCAGTTATAAAGTCCTTTAATTGTGACTTAGCAGGGTCAAGTACCACAGTGGGGACTTAGCCAAGCTTGGGAACACAGCAATGACACAGCCCCAGTGCCCACTCTTTACCTCTCATAACTTTATGTACAAAGTTTGAGAAAAAAAAAAAACTCTAAACTTTTGGAAACCACTCCCATTATTCTTATAACAAGACAAAGAAGAGAGTGGATAATTCAGTAATGACATTCTCCATCAGCCTCAACAGGATCCCAAATGAAAGACGCTAGTCCCAGCATATTTTCTGTCTTTTAGTCAGGGTCGCGGTTATTTTCCTGAGACAGGGTGGTAGTCTGGACTAGCCTTGAATTCCAGGCCTTTCGGCCTCTACCTCCTGAGTGCTGGGATTACAGGCGTGTGCTGCCTACTATAGTTTCAAATTGCAAAGTGTCTACTATAAACTCTTTCTACTCTCAGGAAAAGTTGCTCTTCTCAAAAAAAGAAAAAAAAAAACATTCAAGACTTCTTTTTGCTATTTCCATGGGGGTGGGGAAATGTGTGTTAAAAAAGAGGAAGTTCAGGTGCCCCTTTAATTTTTAGAAAAGTCAAAAGCATATCCTGAGGCCACATGGGAGGAAAGATCTCCTTTGACCAGATCCATGACTCCTTGAAGCTCTCAAGCCACAAGGGGGGAGATGCTTCGGTGCAACTATGGGAAATACTAAATAAACTATCTCTGAAACAATCCTTCCTCCACCTCAGGGGCAAAGAAGCTCAAGAATAAAAATACTTCTAATATGTTTTTATTTTAAAATTTAGAGTGCAAGTATTTCTCAAAAATAGATAAAAATCACCTACATACATAATATTTAAATATAGACAATGGGTCAAAGACGAGCTGTCATAATTATCTTTCACCAAGGGGTCATTTTCGCTGGGCGTTGGTGGCACACGCCTTTAATCCCAGCACTCGGAAGGCAGAGGCAGGCAGATCTCTGTGAGTCTGAAGCCAGCCTGGTCTCCAGAGTGAGTTCCAGGATAGCCTCCAAAGCAATACAGAGAAACCCTGTCTCGAAAAACCAAAAAAAAAAAAAAGTCATTTTCCTGTCTTGTTCAGTAAAAGGAAGACATGACAGTGAAATTAGATAAAATCTGGAAATAGGCAAGATCATTCTACACGTATAGCCTTTTTTCAGTCACTGGGAAAAATAGTAACCAAATGGCACAATGAGGTGTTATTTCCTCATTGTGGATATTACTACAGCGGAATGACCAAAATGATTGCTGGTCATTCAACAGCTGGGACCAAAACAATCTATGTGTCTTTAGTTTCCTTCCAGGTATCTAGAGTTTTTCAGGTTACAAAATGCTTTGACATTCTTTTTACTTGATCCTAACATTATCTCATGAGACATATTATTAGCTACTTTGCAAACAGAGAAGTGAAGGTTGAGGATAAAAGGCTTGGTTGGCCAAGGACTCACCACTGAGGTGACAATAACTGTGCTCAATAAAACAAATTCCAAGATCTCTTTTCCCTTTCTAAACTGGGTGGTTCTAGTTTATCTAATAAAATGCTTACAATTGATAGAACGGAATTCATTCACCCACTTAGAATGTCCCATGACCACCCCCTTGCTCTTCCCAATCAATGTATTTTTTGACAAAGTATTACCGTCCAGGCAGTAGCTTTGCGATTTCTGCCCATCTGTTCCCCAGTCTCTTGTGTGCCTGGTAAATAATTCTGTCTTCCTCTTCTGTCCAGGAGGTTTTCTTAACTTCTGGATTCAAGTGGTTATGCCACCTCTCCCTACATTGTTTTCCAATTCTCCCTTTTAAGTGCTTGGCAATAACAGACCAACGTTTCGGACCGTATTTCTGTACCAGCTCTATCACCTTCAGATAAACACAAAAATAATCTGTGTTTTAATGTTACAGAATGAGTCAGTATCATCAAGCTTCAATGTTAAGATCTTTGGAGAACTAAAAAGAAATCTGCTTTTACCCACTGGACATTATGTGGGAGCAAGCCCTTTACTCTCTGTACATTCACATTGCTTCCTTGGGGGTGAAAGCATGTTTTAGAAATATTCTTAACTACAATTCACACATCTAATGGAAACAGAACTTACTCTCTGATCTTCTTCTTTGGTCCAGGGACCCTTGATGAGTTCAGGGTTTAACACTTTCTGCCATCGGTGTTGGCACTGCACATCTGTCCGGTTCTAGATAAAGTACGCACCATCACAAAGATAAAATGTGATGAGCACATGAAAACTTTATTCAATATGAATTATATGTGAACAATACATAGTGCAAACATCCAGGAACATTTAAAGTCATGTACAGAGAGCCCAGCTATCCCACACTGCTTACAGACTAAAGACTATATCCAAGTTGCATCTAAAATTGGAGTCTGTGACTCATGAAGGGAATAGCTGTGTCAATGTCTTATTGCACACATATATGCCAACTTAACTTAACTCAAGACTGTGGTTTGTATCTTAAGATGTGCTAGAGATTCCAAATTGCCAGGCTTCAATGAAAACCCAATTGGAAGAACTAAAGTGCCTCCCATTCAAACCAAGAGATGCTTAGCTCTGGACCACAAAGCACTTATATTTAAGAGGAATGAAAACAAAACAAAACAAATAAAGCTTCTCACTTTCTAGGAGCTTACAATCTTAGAAGAAGAAAAAGATAAACACAGAGCTGATTATCACAGAAGGCTGAAATGAATTGATCTGCAAGAGACTAAAGTAAAGTGCTGTTCAGGTTGAGGAGAGAAGGACCCTTTAAAATGAGACACTGCTTCCTTCAGAGGCATCCAGGAGCTCTTGATATGGCTTCTGGAGGATGCTCAGAACTTTTAACTGGAGAAGCAAAAGCAAGAAAGCAAGAAAGCAAAGAAAGCAAGCAAGCAAGCAAGCAAGCAAGCAAGAAAGAAAGAAAGAAAGAAAGAAAGAAAGAAAGAAAGAAAGAAAGAAAGCCAAAACAACAAAAAAAATGTTCTAGGGGGTGAAATCACCAGGAAGAAAAACCCAGAAGAAAAAAAGCAGAAATGAATACAACCAACCCTACTTGTGGGGAGGAAGTAGGAAACAGAGGGTGTAGTGGAGGAGAGAACAGTGGAACCATAAGTTCAGACCAGACAGGCGAGCCTTTGGGTATCGGATCAAGGCAGTTCATTGACTGTGTGAGAATCTGTCAAAATGGTGGGGCTTTGTTTAATTGTTGTTTGTTTTCGTGATGCAGGAGATCAAAAACCCAGGGACTCAGCCACCCTAGGCAAGCAGACTGCTGCTAGTTAGGAATAGCTGCAGTTTAGGAAGCTCTATCAGCTAATAGTGTTTGGAACTGATGGAAACATGGAAAGGTAGGAAACAATAGTAATAGAGAGGGCAGGGCGGCCACCCTGTGGCCAGACCAGAAGGACTATAAAGGAATCCTAGGCTCCCAACTCATCATATAAGTCAAAAGGCACTCTCAAATTTGAAATACATATACAAAACAATATTTTTTGGATAAAAATGGGGGAATTTAGAAGCTAACTTGGAGAAAATACCAACTTTAAAATTTTACCTTGTAGCAACCCATCAGAATGTTAACTTATGTTATCAGGGTAAATTAAAACAAAGCAAGAAGAAATTTTTGAAAAAAAAAAAAAACAACCCAAAGTCTCTTGATAGTATATTTAGAAACCTCAATTATATGCTGTGTAGTCAGAAATAAAAATATGGATGGGTCTCTCCCCCTATGTCTACATGAACAAATACATAGTATTTTAATACACTGCCCAGAAAGAAGTAATAGCTAACTTACAGGCAGATAATTGGCAATCACTTTCCAGTCATCTGTTCCATTCTGCTCCACCAGCTTCTTCAACTTTTCATCCTAAGGCATTTAAAGACAATCCTAGGATATCAGTTGCTTACTGAATAGCTCTGTCCAAGTTATAATGAACAAAGGAACCAAGCTCATGATCCAACCCAGAAAAAAATAGCTTTCAAAAGCATCCAAATAAACCCAGTATTAATGTAATATACTTGTCTGAGCATAGATTTACTTAGAGGCACACTGGCACACTAAAGCTTTTACTTTGACACAGCTGTTGAATAGTTATATAAACAGATTCATATTGTCATCTATGAAATAGGAATGGCAGTATCAACAAAGTTATCTAGAGATTACACAATACCATTATGCAAAACAGCGAAGCCTGGCATGTGTTAGTGTTTAATAGATGGTAACTGTTGACACTTTTACTGAATGGGGAAAACTGAATTCCAATGTTAAATTTAGTTGCCTATTCAACCATAATAAGAGATAAGATTGTTGAGTGATATGATTTCCCATTAGTTCAACCTTTTTCATATAAAAGCCAAAGATATTTTACATATTTCACTCAAAGGTGTGTATTTAATTCAGTAAAGTCACTAAGGCTTTGTATCAATATGTTCAGAATTTATGAATGACCAAATATATTAGAATCTAGAAGACACTAAACATTCTCAGGCAGTTGGCTCTATCAGCTCATACACTGGTGGACACCATCCTACCAGATCACACATGCCTTTCTAAACAGTTTTCATAGGTTTCTGCAAAGATACCATTCACGCATAATGAATGCCAAGACAGACAGGAACTGGGAAACCATGATTGACAACAGAACTCCCATATCCCAAAGCAGAAGCCAAGGGCCTGATCTTGATAAGTGGACCATGCATTTCCTAGGTGCCCCTCCCCCCGACCCAGGAGTCTTGTCTACCTGCTCTCAGGAACTCCAGATTTTAGACCACAATGAATTCCATAGTTCAGTAAAGAAGAAGAAACCTTTCTTCATAACTAATTATGCTTCACATTAATGATTTTGCTCTTGAAAGAAGTGGCCATATCCTCACCCATTACTGGATGTCTTTAGAATAATCTTTCATATACATAGGTCTAATTAATTTATCCAGAGAACATTTGTTACTATCCTACATTTTAGTGATTTGGGGTTCAAGGAACACAAAGATGAAGAGACACTTTAGTCCCAACCCTCAAGAGATTTGCTGTGTGTTGGGAAAGACATACATATAACAACATCAAGAAAGCCAAGCATGCATTCAGTGGCATGATTACACAAGAGAGTGCATTCAACCTTAACGATGGCAGCCAGTAATAGTTTTACAGGACATACGATGTGTTCAGATATAATGAAAAGAATAAGAAGTGGTGGGGCTCTGGAATGAGAAACCAACAGGCAAAGCATAAAGGGGAAGACTGAGAACATTCAAAGAACAACAAATGATTTGGAAACAGATAACAGACGGAACATACTGGCAGAGGTGACAGGGGAACATTCTGTTCGGCATGCCAGGCTAAACCCTCCAAGAGTCTTCAGATGAGCACATGTAGCTTAGTTAAAATTTCTGTTTCCACCAACTACAGACTCTACTTTTTTTTTTCTATGTTTTGATAAAATTGACTAATTACCTCTTCCCTGGTCCACCTAGTTTTCCCCAAGTGACGCTTTCCTGATTTGGGAAGCAGCCCGTCATAATCATGGTCACACATCTCAATGTCTTCATCGTCCTCATCGCTACTGTATATGCTGCAGAGATAAGAATGGACAGACATGGGCTGAAAGCATTGGATCTAAACTGTTGGATTACGAAACTCACACCAAAACTCTGCAGTGTGCCTTCCAAAGTCTACAAGGACAAAACTCTGCAAACTTGCGCAATGAGGTTGTTTTCTGCATTCTGCTGCTGTAGTGTTTGTAAACTGGTTCTGCTGTTACTGGTATCCACAGAGACACCAGGAGCCCTGGCACTTTCTATTGCTCTGCATGTTTGAACCTGCTGTTACTGTTAGACCAGTGACAAGTTACACATCTGGCACCCTCCCAACCAATGGACGCCTAAGGACAATAAAAGGAACAAGAGCCCATGTCCTTTATATAAGTGCATACTCAAACTCTTTGGCATATGTGAAATCATTTAAATAGTTTCTGAACACAACTAACCAGTCATTTATGTCCTAATAGAGCTGGTGTTCTGTTAAAATAATAATAAAAGAAAAGCAAGACAGAATACATTCAAAAGCATTATTGTGATCATTTCTTAAAAGTCCATAATATTAGAAAAAAATTAATCAGGAAAGGTTTCAAAACTGGGGAAAGGATACAGCCATCAAACTGTTTTGTGATTAACATGAATAGCAAATCATTCAAAACTCAAGGTCTGGTGGACCCAACCTGTGGCTATGTTTACAATACTGTTTCCAGAGTAACTAAGCACATTACTACTAGGGTACTGACTAGTCAGAATCCTACTTACTCTTGTTTTCTCTGTCTCTGACTGAATGGTGTCTAAAATATCTTACAATGTACCTAATTAAAAACCAAGGGGTTCCCCCAGAGAAATCTACAGGTTAAAACAATTACTGTTTTCAAAACAGCCTTTTCTTTTACTGAGTTGAGTAACACTGTGAATTCTGATGACTGCTGAAGTAACTCCAAACTTACCATACACGGAATAGAGTAATTTTGCAGTCTAGTTTTAGTTATCATTCTCTATAAAACTTAAGGTATGAAAAATTATATACTTAACAACTTCACTAAAGTTCACCATTGTAAACCCGAAAAGCCCATCAAAAAACTATCATATGACAATTACTTTTAAAAGCAAAGTTATATTCATAATAGGTTTTGTCTTCCAGAACTAACTCACTAAATGTATATTTCCAGCCCCCTACAAGTTAAGCAAAAGTGTTTACCAAATGCCTGAATAGTGATTCTCATCACTTAAAACTATTATTTTGGGCAGCAAGGTGCATGGTGGCAGGATATGATCTACCCTTAAAATAACATCACAAAAAAATCCCACTAAACTGTATTCATGATGTGCAATCATTTTTTTCCACTTAGTGTCAACTGTTCTTTGAACCAAGAACAGTTATGTTTCCTACAGTAAACATGAGACAGTAAATAACTTCTGAGCAATGATAATTAAAAATTCCCCTTTCATATATAACACGGTGTTATAAAGTCAAAAATAAAGAAAGAAAATTATAAGGCCAGAACTGTAAATCAGCATCTTTGGGTGACAATTCCCTTTTGCTATGTAACTCCTTGGAAAGCCTTCCAAATGAAGCAACCTTCCGGGAAGTATCAGGGATACCAAGAAAGCCAATGGGATCTGAAAGCGGAGCTACAGACTTAATTCTGATTAGATTAGCCTTTTGGGTTTGGTGAGATCAGGAGATGTCGCTTTCAGAACTGTGGACATTTTTCCAAGCAAATAAACAATTGGGTTTTTCTCTAGTCAAAGCTTAAACTAAAAACAAGCAACATACTCAGTCGCCCACAGGGGGCAGTCGACAGTCAGGTGAGGGAGAACTGTGCTCACAGGACCAGGGTTCTAGAAGCAAAGCTCTGCCAACCTTAGTTCTGTCTGAACCCAGTTGTTTGACTTAGACAAATTTCTCTTCCTCTCGTAGATCTTGTCTTATACATTAGGCCGTGGATTCTATTTTATAAGGTACTTTCCAGAACGCTTGTCTCCACTGTCTTCCAGGCGTCTTTAAAAGCAAGCACTGAGCCGATGTGCAAAGCCAAAGTGTTGGGGGTGACTTGCAGCTCCTGAAGGGCTATAAGAGGCAGTAGGGCGAGTCCAGCATTGGCAAGGGGCTCGCCTTCGAGAATTTGCATGCGATTTCCTTGCTCTAAAATGACCTGGTCGCTTCAGTAGCATGATTAATTTCGACAAAGGACCTGAAATAACTTTTCCTTTATCTGCTCTGACAAGATCTCAGACCCAACAGTCAAAGGACTTTCAAAGGCTGATGTCAAGCTAGATGCTCTCAACTCCTCCACCTGCGAGAGCCTGTGTGGTTACAAGAGTACAACTATGAATATTACATTCTATCAAGGAAACAAACTGTGCAAAGAAACGAAAAAGAGTTGCTGGGGGTTGGGAAAAGGGAGGGGAACCGGAGGAAGTGCCTGTGACCGCTACATGATTCTAGAAAAGGGGTTCAGACTCATTTCGCTGACCTGGTTAATAATCCCTGCCGAGTTG